CCAACAGCAGAAGGACACGGAGCTGTTGGAGCGGGGCCAGAGGAGGCCCCGGAGATGCTGGGAGGGCTGGAGTCCCTCTGCTGGGAGGACAGGCTGGGAGAGTTGGGGGGTTCAGCCTGGAGAAGAGAAGGCGAAAAAGGGGAGACCTCAGAGCCCCTTCCAGTGCCTAAAGGGGCTCCAGGAGAGCTGGGGAGGGACTCTGGATGAGGGAGGGGAGCCGTGGGACGAGGGGGAATGGTTTTAAACCGGAAGAGGGGAGATTGAGATGAGGTATTAGGAAGGAATTTTTCACTCTGAGGGTGGTGAGTCCCTGGGGCAGGTTGCCCCGAGAAGCTGTGGCTGCCCCATCCCTGGAGGTGTTCAAGGCCAGGTTGGACGGGGCTTGGAGCAACCTGGGCTGGTGGGAGGTGGCCATGCCCAGGGCAGGGGGTGGAACGAGATGATCTTTAAGGTCCCTTCCAACCCAAACCATTCTATGATCTCAGCTGAGAGGTGCCCTAAAGTTACCACTTTGTGATGCACAATCTTTTAGGCATCATCAATTTGACCCTGAATTTTCTCTTAATTAAAAGTAGTGTTGTTCATTCTTCTTATAACTTAATCTGGAAACATGATATGTCACTGCTGTATCAGGCTAGTGTGAAATGAACTTTTTTTGTTCAGTGTTTATGAAGGAAAATAAATAAATAAATACCAGCTCAACTGTTTTAAGCTATGAGGAGAAAAAAAGTCTTGTCTCATTTTTTTAAAAAAAAATAAAATCTGTGATAACACAATTTTTATTATTTGATGCTTTCTCCATAAGTGTGTGAAGCATTTTGTATAAAATAATCCTGTAGAGATATGACAGTTGTCCAAGATGTTATGCAGTTATGTAGTGCTTTAGTGTTTCTTAAGAAAAAGAAAAAAAACCCCAAACTTGAAAATGAAACTCAATTTGACCATCATGTCCAGAGTTCTGTTTTGCCTTATAAAAAACCATTAAGGAAATAAAATTGTTTATGAAATTAAATTGAATGCTTCTAGAACTTGTCATTTATTTTTCAAGTAAGATATTTCTTTTTAAAAAAATTTAAAAATATGATTGAATAAATGAGCATTGAATGCTAAAATTAAAATTACCACTTATCTATTATAGACTCATCCATCTTGAGGGCTTACAGATGTCAATATAAAGTGCTTAAATAAAAAGCCTTTAAGGATGTTTTAACTCCATATTTAGTTAGCTACATTTACTTTGTTAATTAGCTACATTTACTGTGGTATTGTGCTAAAATTACCTGTTCTTTACAAAACCTAAAATGTTGCTTGCTTCAAAATGTAAAAGAACAGATATTTATTTATTTATTTAAACAGGGTGCATTTGGCGCTCTTCAGAAGATATGTGAAGATTCTGCTGAAATTTTAGATAGTGATGTATTGGACCAACCACTCAATATCATGATACCTAAATTCTTGCAGTTCTTCAAGCACAGCAGTCCAAAAATAAGGTAGGTTTAGGTGTTATACTAAAATTACCTGTAAAAAATGTATTTATATGAGCAGCGAGGTTGATATTTTGTGTATCAGTTTAAAACATGCTTAGTTTTTTATTAAATGATCCTGTGTGTGCACATGTGAGAAGGCACAGAGATTTCATGCATCAGTAATTTCCATGCTTATCTGCTTAGTTAATATATCAGCCTTACCTCTTTATACATCTTCTAAATCTAGAATCTGACTTTGATTTTCAAACTTTTTCTTTTAAGATTTTGCATATTATCATGAAAATTTCAGTCCTGTGGTTAAAATTACATATTCTTATTAGGAAGAACTGTCTTGCATTCATTTTGTAATGAATGAAGCAACGGGAGAGTAAAAAATTGTTTGCTGATAATAGTTTCTGAGTTCTTACAGAAAAATATTTTTTCTGCTTTAACTGCACCAAACCTTAGAAAGCTCTTTATCTTTGAGCTGGATCAAATTAAATGGGTTCAAAGTCTTTTTACTTTAATACAGTATTAAACTCTCCAAAGTAGCAGAAGTATAGGATAGAAGAAAACTTCCAGAATTAACTTGTTATTGCTAATATTTATCAACAAAACCAGTAGCTTTTTACCCTGAAATGAGCTAGCAATGTGCCTTTGCCACAAAGGTGGTGAATGGTGGTGAATGGACTGGAGTGTTGCCAGCATGGGAGGTGATCCTTCCTCTCATCCTCCAAGTGAGGCCACACCTGAAATACTGTGTCCGGTTCTGGGCTCCCCAGTACAAGAGAGACATAGAGCTACTGGAGAGAGTCTAGCAAAGAGCCACGAATGTTATGATAAAGGGTCTTGAGCATCTCTCCTATGAGGACAGGTTGAAAGAGTTGGGGTTGTTCAGCCTGGAGAAGAGAAGGCTCTGGGGAGACCTTATTGCCGCCTTTCAATACTTAAAGGGGGCTTCTAAGAAAGATGGGACAGGGCCTGTTGCAATAGGACAAGGGGTAATGGCTTTAAACTAAAAGAGGGCAGATTCAGACTAGAAACAAGGAAGAAATTTTTTACACTGAGGGTGGTGAGACACTGGCCCGGGTTGCCCAGAGAGGTGGGAGATGCCCCATCCCTGGAAACATTCAAGGTCAGGTTGGATGGGGCTTTGAGCAACCTGGGCTGGTGGGAGGTGTCCCTGCTCACTGCAGGGAGGTTGGACTAGATGGCCTTTAAAGGCCCCTTCCAACCTAAACCATTCTATGATCCCGTGATTCTTTTCTGCGGTGCCTAGTGACCGGACAAGAGGCAATAGGCAAAAACTCAACCACAGGACATTCTGCCTTAACATCAGGAAACACTTTTTCTTACCATGAGGGTGATCAAGCGCTGGCACAGATTGCCTAGAGAGGTGATGGAGTCCCCATCCTTGGAGGTATTCAAAAGCCACTGGGATGTGGTCCTGTGCAACCGGCTCTAGGTGGCCCTACTTGAGCAGGGGCATTGGACAAGAAGAACTCCAGAGGTCCCTTCCAACCTCAACCATTCTGTGTGATTCTAGGAAATGTGGTTTTGAACTCCTGTTTGAAAATTATATTGAAAGATTCTACAACTTGGAGGCGGCAATTATTGCTGTCAGTAATAGATGATGAAGACTAAAAGGAAGAGTATAACTAGGAATAGATCATGATAGGATTTAAATCAGATTTAGAAACTCTCCTAAAATAGATGTGCACTAAGAAGAATACATAAGAAAGCATGAACTTGCTCTTGTGGAAGGATAAGCTTAATACTTCATTGGAGCTGAGAAAGATGGAGAAAAAATTCGTTTTTTCCTTATCACATTAAACAGTCTTTCACTTTTTGTATACTGTGATCTTTGTAGCTTTGAGATAGTTAAACCAGTTTCAACTTCAAAGCAGATCACCTGCTGACCTACAGCCTGGTATCACTACATATTGCTGAAGTATGAAGAATATCAATAACGTCAGTAAAATACTTTATATTTAAATCTGTCAAATTACAACTTTTGAACACTGTTTTATGAGACTGTCTTCCAAGAAATATCTGAACAGACTAGACGTTTGGGGTTATGTTAGTAAAAACACTTGGGTGGATCTTCAAAGGCTTTTAAAGGTAGCTTTGTCTTGTGCCTTTACTTTCGTAATTTGGCTTTTGTATCTCTGAGAATGAAAGACTTGTAAGTAATGACTTTGCATGAGGTAGAAGAATCAATTTTTCACTTTTTATAGAATCATAGAATGGTTTGGGTTGGAAGGGACCTTAAAGATCATCGAGTTCCAACCCCCCTGCCTTTTAGCATGGTTCTACCACAAGAGTTTTAGTATGTATCCTAATGCAAGTATGTATTTGTTCTAAGCTCCAGATGTATTACTGATGCATATTGGTCTCATTAAATACTAAACATATTGTAAAGGCAGTTGGATATTTAGCAATGAAGAAGGGCGTGCTAAAATTTCACCATGTTGACTTGTATGGAATTGTTAATATCGAAGAAGATCAGTAATCATAATATACTGAAAAAGAACATGCTTACATACTGTTCAGAACAAATGTGCCAGGTATAGTCATCCTGCTTTGGCTTTTATTTACTGAATACTTTATTTTAAATTATTTATTAAATATATTGGAGTATAAGGTGGTACTTAAAAATGTGTAATTTTTTTGGTAACAATATAGATGTGTAGATTTGTTCCCTCTTGCCTCTAGAAGATGCTTGGACAATGTGAATTGCTTCCTAATTTTTTGATGCCTATGTACAGTTTAGAAAATGTTTAAGTTATGAAAAATGTGTATTTTAACTGTTCCATTTGTAGGTCTCATGCTGTTGCATGTGTCAATCAATTTATCATCAGCAGAACTCAAGCTCTTATGTTGCACATAGATTCTTTTATTGAGGTGAGTGTGCGTTCTTGGTTGGGGGGGTTAAGTCAAATTACATATCTGATTTAATAAGAGCTTCGAATAATGTTTTACAACCACTACTACCCCCAAGCTCCACATTACTGGCTTCCTATTCTTAGCTTCAGTCCCCATGGATTGAAGTTCATTCTGTATGCTTATGCTCAGATTAGTCTAAGCACTCTCCCAGCCCAAGAAAAAGTATTTTGAAAGATGCTTCCTTTTCATAAATAGAGGAAACTCTTGTTGCGTAAAGGTACTGGCAGCAGTCTGTCATTTTACCTGTGATTGAGAGAGTTAAGTACGGGGATCATCACGTCACTGAGTCTGAATGATGGGTCTCTAAATACTACTACTGAATGTGGATTAGAAGGGTGATATTTTGGGTTATCTAAAGTATTTTATTTCCTGCTGTTATGTATTGAAGGAGTTTTCTAGCTTCAGAACTTCATTAATGATTACGGGGAAAAAAAAAAAATTCAGGAAATAATGTCCTTGTGTCTAATGTACACATGACCGAAACACTGGGTAACAATACACATTGAGAGTCTGAAGTGTTCATTTGCTAAATGGTATGTCTTTAAGAAATAATATGGTATTCTGAGGTGTGGGGTGGGAGGGTACAGAAGTACATGTTTACATACTTCAGTTTGTGAGTAATGTCAATTTAAATACAAGTTGAACTAGATGAATTGAGGCTTTTCAACTGGTATTACTTTCCAACAGAATCTTTTTGCACTGGCTACTGATGAGGAGCCTGAAGTACGCAAAAACGTGTGCCGTGCTCTGGTAATGTTGCTGGAAGTTCGAATGGATCGCCTGCTTCCTCATATGATTAGTATAGTTGAGGTGAGTCTCATTTCCCAGATTGCATGCTGAAACATATTTGGAGTTGCAGAAATAGAATCATAGAATTGTCTAGGTTGGAGGGGACCTTTAAGATCATTGAGTCCAACCGTTAACCTAACACTGCCAAACCCACCACCAACCCACGTCCCTCAGCACCACATCTACCCGTCTGTTAAATACCTCCAGGGATGGCGACTCCACCACTGCCCTGGGCAGCCTGTGCCAGTGCTTGACTGAGGAGAGAAACTGGACTTCACACGATCCAATGTGAATCATACAGAAGCCACTTTATTGACATTCTACTGTCCCTTATATACAGTTT